CTATATTGATAATATCTTTTCCAGAATTTCATAGATTGACTGTCTAGACTGCTTCAAATTCCCCAGGTAATTGCATAATCATCTTACTTCTGATCCCCTAAACAGTCTGGAACAGCATTTCACAATCTATAGTTATCATGCAAATCAAAATCACTGAGCTTCTGAAGGAGGACCTCTCTCAAAGCCTGTGAGTTTCAGAGTCTCAGGAAAATACTCGCATTTCAATCTTCCACCTCAGAATGCTTGGACAGGAAGCTTTATATATTGGCTATTTGGGTAGAGGAAATCCTGGTAAATGGCCTGGCTCCAGAACCTGTACCTCTTCATTTCCCCAGCGGCCCACCCATAGGGCAGCAATGAGTAGTTGATGAGTGGAAGAGGAAATAGATTGTTAACTCTATTAAAATCTCAACTTCAAAAATCAACATTTCGGGAAAATGATAAAAATGCAAGGATAACATATGGCGTTTTAATTTAAATGACCATCAACATCATGTAAGCCTCGCATTTAAAAAGGGGAAATTAAGAAAGGTGCAGAATCACCCGGCAGCCATGAGAATCCAGTGCCATAATTTACAATCTCTGATGAAGTGAGAAACATTTAAGAGGCAAAGTGACAACTGCTATTAAGCAAAACAGCAACATAGGTTTTAGGCTGTGATGCAGATTTATATTTTGTATTAAACGGGTATAGACTTGTATTTTAAAATAGTTATAGTTTCTAATATTAATTGACTTTTTTTAGCCTTTATTATCCATTAGACAATGTTTAACTTTCACAACTGTATGAGGTACAGACCATTTTCCTTAAAAATTTCTAGCTTAGAAACTTAGATACAGAGGAGGTAAATAATTTGCACCAGATTAAGCAGCTAGTACCAAGCTGAGGTTGAATGCAAGCTCTGCAGTCTGAGGCTAGCAGATATGCTTTTAACAATGGTGGGATTAAAACTCCTTGAGTTTCTACAGGGACAAAAAAAAAAAAAAAGTCAGTGGGTCATACTGTGCTAAGAGCGGTAGAAGGCAGTTAGAGGTGATGTTAACCTTGCATTTAAAATATACAGACCCCGAGAATCAAAAGATTGTTTTTAGCTTGTGTTGCATGTGTGAGACAGAGTCTCAGAGAAGGTAAGTAATATTTCCAGTGCTCCACAGCTAGTAAGTTGTAGAGCAAGATCTGAAGATAGATGCGACACCAAAGTCCAGGTCCTTTCTGCTAATTTGTGCTACAAGTTCGGCATTCCTGCTGGGCTCTGTCACTCACGCCTGCAATCCTAGCACTTGGGGAGGCCGAGGTCGGTGGATTGCCTGAGCTCAGAAATTCGAGACCAGCCTGGGCAACAAGGTGAAACCCTGTCTCTAGTAAAATACAAAAAATTAGCCAGGCATGTCGGCATGCACCTGTAATCCCAACTACTTGGTACTTGGGAGGCTGAGACAGGGGAATTCCTCGAACCTGGGAGGCAGAGGTTGCAGTGAGCCAAGATCATGCCACTGCACTCCAGCCTGGGCAACAGAGCGAGACTCCATTTCACAAAAAAAAAAAAAAAAAAAAAAAAAAAAAAAAAAAAAAAAAAAGTCAACATTCCTGATTCCATTGCCAATCATGTAGACCATAATTCCTGACGCATGTAAAAAGTGCAATACCATGACTCATGTAAAAAGTGCAATATCATATGGAGGGGGTTCTCTAGAGCTACCTTCAGAATATAGAAAAGTGAGACAATTGCCTTGCATGCAAGCTTTAGGACAACTGATGTATTACAATAAGAATTGGTTGAGAAGACAGCAAAGAGAGAGTGACTAAATCAGGTGCTAAAACAAATTACATGTACAAAGTCTCCAGTACCATGTGCATAAATTTATCCCTAATTTAATCAATGTAAAACAAGCAACATCAGTAGAATTGCCTGTCCTAAAGTTGCTTTTTACTTAAAACTCTTCAGTCTGTCAGCATAAATACTATACATATGGGCTTATACAAAAGAGAAGGAGGAAGGATATGGTTGGGGAAATAGGATGAAGAGATACTGGCAACTAGTGAGATCTTGGGAATGTGTCTTCCCTGGTTCATCAAGAAGAAAAAATAATTGTGTTTAGTCTAGAAACTGCATAATATCTAAGGTGATTTCTTTTTTTTTTAATTTATTTTTTATTATTATACTTTAAGTTGTAGGGTACATGTGCATAACGTGCAGGTTTGTTACATATGTATACTAAGGTGATTTCTTATACAAAGAAGATATAACAGAAACTATTTTGATTTCTAATTCATTTGGGTCAAAAGACATACTTATATCACTTTGGGACACTTTATGAAATTTAGGGAGAGAGTCTAAAGTTTAAGTTATAAAGAAGTGAATACCGTGTCAATTTTATTTTATCTTTAGGATATCAGAAATATTTCGAGAATAAGTCCTTTATTTGTTGAGTATTTCTGAGTTCCAGTTTTGAAGAAAATTCTATCACCAATGATTTTCTCATCACGTGAACACTTTTGTTCCTCTTAGGATTTCATGCCAAAAATTACAAGAGGGTTTATAATTGAAGTCTATTGATAAGCCAGATTCACCAAACTGCTTTCAACATTAGCAACTTTTTCTTTATCTTGATTTTTACTTAAATGTACATAATTTCCTCACTAAAACATCTTTACAAGGAATAGAGAGATTAAAAAAAAAACATTTTTTCTTTCCCATACTTCCAAAATAATAATCAAAAATATACAATCAAAGCTTAGCCAAGCAAGAATACAAATGTGAATAATGTGAGTCAAACCTGAGACCAGATCATTGTGCAAATGTATGGCATCCTTTCTTAATCCCTAGGCAGAAGAAAACAACTGGTGGCAGACACTTCTGGCTGAGGATGGAAATGGAGGAGAAGGCTGGCAATATACAAATGAAGGAGAAAACACCACACATTCAGTCTGCTGACATCTGCTGCACATGCAAAATGGATTGGACTCTAATCCAGGGTGAAAACAAATGCTTTCTTCCTTCCTTCCTCCTGCTCCCTAGTTTTTGTTGAGTGATGTTCTCATTCTTTTTGCATTCACAGATTAAAATTAATAACAGCATCTGAATTTGAAGTAGGTCCCACTGAATAGTGAACCAGAAGCAAAATGAACTGAAGAAATTAGTAATGAAGCATTTTGAATAGAAAGGGGTCATGGACAAACATAATTTTTTAAAAGCCAGCTTTACCTCAGGATGATGTCCAATTTCAATGTAGGTGCAAATTGGATGAAAAGCCCCCGTTCCACAGGCGTACAAGTGAGTCTGATTATATGCCTTAAGTACCTTGATGAAATTAGCACATTCTTTCTGTAAGACAAAAGGAAAACCAAAGATTTTCAGCAATCAGCATGACTGAGGTATCCTCTAGGGTGCTAGGCATGCTGGAACAGATTCGTCTTTTGTTTTCTTTTTTTAGCATCCCTTTCACAACATTGTAAGGACTTATTTATTTTTCTATTGTTTTGTTTATATTATAACACGCATTAAAATATAGAGTTTCTTACTCTGGTGAGAACAATTATTTTATGACCTTCCATCAGTCTTTCATTAAAACTATTTTTAATTTATTTATACAAAAGCAGAAAAAAAAAATTAGATAATCAATAATCACAGGTGATTTTTCCAGAAATGAGGAGAGCAGGAAATTACTTGATTAACTAATGAATTAACTAAACAAAATGATGGTGAAAATTTACTTGCAAAAATCAGTTTTCAGTTCCATTTTAGGAAAAGAAAACAAAAATATAATATAATATGTCCCTCTAATAAACATAAAGTTTAAACACCATTAGTAACCCATTTTGGAAATATCCAAATGAGTATTCACATGGTAAATAATAAAAACTGCATTCCAAATTATTTTGTTAAAGGCTATAGACTTCCTTAACTACCTTTTTTTTTTTTCCTATAAGCATTTGGAATTAAGAACCAAATATGTAACTATAAATGCAATTAAGGATCAAGTGTGGACAACAGTACAAGCAAGGCAGGCACACATGACAGGACTGGGTTGTTCCTGGGACTTCTAAGTGTGTCACACTCCCAAAGTCATTCTCTATGACTTTCCAGTTTTCAAGTGAAAGCTCAGAGTGCTTTATGTAGTCAGTTGGAGCTTACAACTGAGGTGGTAAAATTATTTGAGTACATTTCCACATGACATCTGTATTCTATATTTGAGGCTGATTATTTTTATCTTAATTCCATTGCCCCCGTAAAATAAGGATCAGGTAACCAAACTTAAGCAGATTAATTGATATTTAAATTCAAATAATTGCTGTCTATTATCACTTATTTTTCTAGGATGAAACCTGATGATGACCCTAAAATACATTGCCCTAAAAATGAATGTGGCCCATTTAAAGTAAAATGTGAAAGTTTCTAGTTATGACTCCTCCCTCATGCTTTCCTAACATATGCTGAGTACTTTGGGGGTAACTAAAATAAACATAATTTCTTCCACTGTTTTGCTACACAGATCCTCAGTCTTTCTTTTGTCTGGTAAGGCACTACAATGTATAAAATTACTCTCTGAAATAAATTGATCTTGCAAGTTGTTATGAGGAAAAATTTCCTAGCTTAAAAGGTATGTGGCTCTCATCCGTGTTTCACTTTAAATAGGGTACCTCTTAGGTAAAACTATGAAACAGATATAACTTAACTTCCACTACTCTTAGCAACAAGCTCTCCATTCTGTAAGAGTCTCTCCTCCTTCCCCAAGAGAATAGGGCATGAAGGCTTGGGCAGAGGAAAGAGGTTGTGGAAAGGGAAACATCTGATAAACTCATTTACAAACCAGGCATTCATGAGCCTTACCCAAAGGATTTATTTGTGTTCTTAAAAAAATTTCAGTCATTTGCAAAGAAGCCATTTTCAGGAAAATGTTTACTTTGAAACACGTAGGTGGCCACATACTCTGCTTTTGTATAAAGATAATCATCTCTGATTGTGGGCTCAATATTATAGTATTCCAGATTAGAAATAACCAGTTCCAGCACCATATGCTGAAACTGAGAAATTGGCTGTGTACATATTGGTAAGCAAACAGATATTCTAATAAATAATAGTGGCAGACCCAGATGGATGTCTTTTTCATTCTAGAAAAAAACAGGATTTCAGTTTGCATGCCATGCCTTTATAGATATGCATGCAATTTTTTCCACAAACCCCAATGTTTTAGTCTTATCAGTATCACCTAACTGCCTCCTTAGAAATATGACAGTGGAACTTACTTCTCCATAATAAATAAGGAAGAACATATTTTACCAGTAAGAATACTTGTGAACAAAACAAAGGCTCATGTCACCTCTGCAACTGTTATGAATCATAATATCACAGAATTTGTGGGCTCTTTATCTCTTATAGATTGAATAACTGATTAGCAATTTATAGTGACTACATCTGTCCTTCGAAGGAAACTAGCAGATTGTAATTAATAACTGAAAAACTCTCGGGGTTCTTGCTAACTATGAAATTGGGCTCCACTGAATATCATAATTTTAATTTGTTCTCTATTAACTACTAAAGAGGAACCACTATAACATGACAACAATTCCCCTACAGAGTTGTTGGAACAAAATCAATCACAGGACCATAGCTGTGAAACCTGGCAAAGGGTTCTACCGAGAGTGCTGATAACGGGATTCTATCTTTTTACTAAGCAACTAGACCCACCCTATTGGCCTAAGGCCTGGAATGATCCCCTTCATTTCCCCACTGAGCTCTCCCAGTTGGCAGCAGGTTGTATTGTTACCATGCCCTGGGGGCAAGCTCAATATTATTTTGAAAGTGGAGGTTGATGCAAATATAATGGAGAGAAATTTCTTGGGCTTAGAGGATATAAAGATGCTTGAAATAAAACAAAGGAATGGAAGGAAATACTTTCAAATTTGGTTAAAAATAGCTGAGAGAAGACCCATCAAGAACAATGGAGGAGGAAAGTGTATTAAAAGAACTGGACAGAGAAGAAGCAAAAACTTGACAGAGACATTGTTAGTAAGGATTTGTTCTTAATAGAAAACCTACATAAAAGAGTATCAATCCTGTCATTCATTTGCCTTCATTCTCTAGCTTGTTGCTGCCAAGGTTTTCGAGTGTTCCAAAACAGGATATTCATTTTATTTGGAAGCAGCTTGGACATTCCTCTAAAAAAGAAGGAAGCATGGCAGAAAAAGGAAACACACTTCACACATTTCTGCTCTAGGGAGACAGAAGAAGAGTGTTTCTGACCTTTTCTTGAACCATGACGATTCTTAAAACTCAGAATGTAACGTACTTTTTGGCCTTAAACTACTGCACTGCTTTGCTCAGCACTGGAGGATTTACAATGTAATAAAGAGAGTGGAATCAGTTCAAAATGAATTCATTTTTCAAACCTTGATCCTTTTTGGAATTTAAGTTGATGAACACAGACAAGTTTAGCAACAAGTTGACTTCCCGAGAGTCAGGCAACCATACTGACCTCTTATTTTACTGAAATGTTCTCCAGAGCAACAGTGTTATAGATTGTTAGCTAGAAATAAAAGTAAGGCCAGTTATAAACCAGTAAAATCCAAGGCCACACCTGAGGAGTAACGATTCATCACCCTTAGTGACAAACCACTTACACTTATGTTTTTAAGGGTCTCTGGTCTTTCCAGATCAAAGGAATGAGGAATTATGTATAAAGATATTACCTGGAGTAATAAATTTAGAAGAAAATGTCTACCCCTAGAAAAAGATACAGGAGCCAAAAGCACAGTGATTCAAAAACAAACATTGCAGATATGAAGCACTGATTAGACTGTGTTACACAGACTTTTCCTGGACGGTTACAAAAATAAAGTCCATCCATCTGTCAAAACAACTGCTCCATGCATGAAAATTAAAACAGAACTGAGGTGTTTTTGACTAACTTCCGATAATTATACTTTCTACAAAAGAATATGATTTACCTCCAATTCCAATTACCTCCTTGCATGTTCTTAAATTCTGGATGGAGCAGTTAAATTTTACTCTAAGTAAGCGAAGAGAAAAGGAGAGAAGACTTGTGAACGTGAACAATCTCTATTCAAATATATTCAGTTCATGATTAAATCAAACAACTTGTTCTGGCTCAACTACGAATCAGTCCAAAATGAATGGGTAGCATATAACATTGACTCAGGTCAATGAGAATTCATGTAAAAAGAAAAAAAATGCTTCTATCGCATCGATAGTTTATGTAGAAATATTTTGGTGCATAATCTAGCAGCTGGGAAAGCAAAGGAAATATTTTCCTATCATGATGGGTGGATACATTTATGCCTGAAAACCCATTAATAAGCTTAATTCCTGAAGTTAATCTGTTGACTTTCTTTTTCTCTGGTCAATTTATTTGGCAAGCTAGCTGAATACTGGAATCTTCGTGCCAAAGCAGTAATCCGTGAGATTGTTCCTGTCACTCACTTTATCCCTTCCTCTATTTAAGCTTTTCCGCACTTATCTGGCAATAATGTTTAGTCTTTTTTTTTTTTCTTTTAACCTTGTGCTATTACAGCTGTAATCCGATCATCCATAATTGTGTCTTTCTAATACTTTACTATTCACTAAAGGATGTTAGAAATCTCTTCTCCAAAGAGGCTTATCTAATAAAACTAAAATATAAACCATGTTATAATTATGATATTAGCCTTCTAATGTTGAATTTGTGACTTGGAATTTTTAACATTCACCTTTTAAAGTAATGAATAGGCAGTTCTGTCCATTTTGGGAGGCATTTTTACCATCAGTATTTAGAATATGCCATAATAAAATGAATTGAACTTTCCATATCAATGCTTTTATATTTTTTAGAGATTTAAAATAATAGTGATATAACTAACACAACAAAGTTAGCAATGTTACATAGCCAGTAATTTTGGTATGTAAGCATATTCATATTAATTGAACTATATCACCATTAAACCTATGATAACTGAAAAACAACTTTTAAAGTGGCTTGAATTATATGATTAAACTAAATGAAGACTCTCTGTATAAGGCTCACAAATTATTTTACTTAAATGTTCATTGCAGTTAAGTGCCCAATTTGACTGCTCTTTTCCCTCTAGATTGACTATTTGTTTTGAAGTTCTAGAAATATTGTTCAAGATTCTATAAACATTTTTCTTTCAAATTACTTGAAACCTTCAAACATGTTCAAAATGATTATCCACATAGGCACTATAGACTATGCTATTAGCAAAAGCTGACCGCTGTGATTTTCTTTTATTTAAAGGAGTTCAAAAAATTCACTTTGAAATTCTGTGTGGACCATAGAAGCTTATGATATCGATTTTTAGGCTTATGTT